CATTTAAAAATTAATTATCATTCAAATATTAATAAATATTCTTCCACTGGCTCACCTCAAACGAGTTTATTAAATCCTCGTACATGCATAATGTTACTTCGGTGCATTGCGTTAATATGATAAATATTATATGATATAATAAATAAGTATGATATAATAAGTATTATGTCGATGAAGAAATGATTTTGATTTTGATTCTTTAAAAAAAATCTAAAAGTAATATTTTTGTAAATATTCCCTTTTCACAATTTTTGTTTACCCTTCCATTTTAGTGAGCTTTATATCGTTTCGGTTGCAATAATTGTAACAAATGTATTAATTTCATACAACTATGTATCTTAGAAATGAATAACAGGACGTTATTTCGCTGCAGCGCGGCTAGGAGTAACTTATAGTAGAGTAGTAACAGGCGCAATATGAACATTTATTTTAAATTATATAACTTGTGTGAAGATCACAGTCCTGATGTGTCCGACAAAAAAAAACTAAAATCGCGTTATTTGTTGCAGCCATCGCTACCACATCACAGCCTTTAATAAAACGAAAAAAAAAAAGAGAAAGGAATGGGTAATATTTTATCTAACAAGTTAAAAGACAGCCATTATAAAACTTATTAAAGATCTCGATACTGAACACTTTGAAATATATCTTGGAATCAGTCCTGAATTATCAAACTATAATATAGTTTTCAAACTATATACTATATCTAACTGTCAAATACCTCATTACACTTATGGTCAACTATACTTCTCATTATATGATGGATTAGTATTATAGCCCTTACAAACTTTACCGATTATAATATCTGTATAAACACCGACTTCGGCATTCTGCGATGAAAAGCAACTTTAAATCTCGACGAGTTATTTAATAACTAGTTTCTCCGGATTAAAATCCGGCGAGCGCCCTTGCAGTCGTTTTATTTTATCTGCAGCTTTAACTTTTACTTTGCTCCGTTCATTTGTTGTCCGTGCGTGGAATACTGCGAGGTTTTATGTTCACTAATCAATACCGATTTAAAGTGAAGAGTGCGTTTAAATATTTTACGTTCTTACGTCCGCTACTTTCTGAAACACTGATCATTGTATGAAATTAACTAATCAGCTGTCATATGACTTTCAAGTGGTATTTAAGTTGCCAAAACGATGGTTAAACTCTCTGAATTGATCAGAATGATCTTCTTGATGAACTGAATGATCATTAAGAATCTGTGGCGGATGAAAACAACCGCCACGTGTATTTTAAATTTAGCGCGCGACTCGCGCTTTGCAACCGAGTCGCCTCTGATTGGTCGGTGACCGGGAAGTTCACTCTGCCTCCACGCTCGCCGCACGAAGACTGCTGTCAACTTGTTTTTAACGATAATATTGTTTGTATGGTGAAAAGAATTGTGAACATATCAAAAGTTCTTCTGATTGAAATACAAATAACAGTGAGAATATCATGCCGTAAATCTAAGAGTCAATCTTCAATCTGAGCTGGGGTATCTAATGATATTCTGTCGTCACGATTTTCAAACCTTTGCATGGATTAGCTAGCATGGAGGTTTTCAAGTATCGCGAATGACCCCAGTATGGTGAATGAATGAAATTTAAAATTCTCTGTATGTCTGTTATATGCATACGACCTATAAGGTAAAACGTGTCAGAGTTTTTAGTGGAATCCATTTAGCGACGAATTGTTCATAATAGTAAAATAGTTGTTTTTAAATTACCTCAATCTCCCGTCAACGTTTCAAACTTTCACAACTGAGCAAAAAAAGCAAATGAACGCTTACCGAGCACAGAAGGAATGTCCGCTTACATTGCATTATGAATAATGCCGCGGGATAGCGACTCGAATATCAAAACTTTTAATGGCGCCATCCCGAACTCTGTTGATTTAATTATAGAATATCGCATTATTTCAAGAGTTTCGTCTCTCCGTGGGCAATTAGCGAGATAATACGCTTTCACAGTTCTCGCAAAACTTATTAAAATACATGCACGATTTACCTTCACTGGCTTATGCTTAAGGATTTTTCCTTTTTCTTAACGATACCATTTTCAGATTATGTATTTTGTAAATAATGGGGTTGACACCTAGCTTGGTTGATTTCAGTGATTAGGCGGCAAGCGAGATGGCGGTGCATATACCCAGCAACTTTGGCCGCTTCTTCGGGTAATAATATTATTATATCTTAGATGAAGGGAGTTTAACAAGAAGCCTAAAGACTGATATCGCTTTTGTTACTCCTCTGATATTTAAGAAAACTAGTTAACGGCTTTCATCGCGGTTTATTTTTACTTTAAACTTCCATTGTCTCTTGTTTGCCCTCTTAAGCTGAAGCAACGTTTCAGCTTTATTAAGTTCAGTCTGATCCTATGATGTTGGTTAACTGGTTCCTCTCCGTGAGTGGCGCATCTCCATGATCGCATATCATCAGTTGAGCTATTTTACATGCCTTCTTCACTATATAACAGCTAGGAAAAGCATTTCAAAATCGGCGAGATTATAGTAGCGAAGTTAGTGAAGTTTCACGACGTGTTCAGTGAATTTGGAAATTTTCAACATCGTTGACGCTACGTGACTTGAATCTTTTAAAGAGAAATTATCAGTACACTGGTGAAAATATAGATTAAAAGGGCCTAATAAAGTTTAAAATACTGTTATAAATATAAAAATTCTGTTTGGTACACAATTTCAAATTTTCATTCGTTACCAGAAATGTCAACAACACTGTCGGTAAACAGCCTATTGAAAATGCAAGGATGCCATTTTTGCGATATCTTTATTTGTGATGAAAATATAAGCAGATATTCTTAATATAATATCTCTGAAAAAAGTTATTATAGTATTGTCCAGCGGGACCCTCCGTGTGTCTGAGGTACCTAAGTCCCCTTCTTCGACCGGGGATCTTCGACAGACGTTTATGAATGGTCAAATTCATGTCGAGTTTGGGTAATTCGCTGCGTTTACCACCAAAGGATTGGTATGCTTTCCGACTCATTGGTAATTAATGCGGCTGATGTGGCGATGACTGGATGGCGATGGATGGATGATTAATGTGAAAAAATTAAATCCAAAACTCAAATATTGCTAAGTTACGAGTGAACTAAGTTAAACAATATTTTCAATTGTATTAATTTATCGTAAAGTAATTGTTAGACTAGTGAACCGTCTGCTGTATTAAATGAGACCAGTGTCGATATTGGCGAACGAGACAACTCGTCGAAAGCATCCAGTCAAAGAATTTTGATGAAAATTCTTACCTTGGTAAGTGAATTTTTTCACATGAAATAAACGCAGTTTCATCTTTTAAAAGCAAAATTATTTTTAAAGTTTTTCACATTTTAACTTATCCGCGAGGGATTATTCTTATCGCAAGCAAAAGATATTTTAATTATCTCAAGGCCAGCAATCAAACATTAGGCAAACATTTGACTGTTAAAGATCACAAAAGACGGAAATTTCTTTTTTAATATTTTTTTTATTTTAAACTAACGTGTAATAGGTGTACTAAAATGAGACATGTCAGATATTTAGATGTCTATATATCTAGTAAAATTATATTTTTATAGATTTACCAAAAAAAAAACCAGAAAAAAAACTTATATTAGTGTAGTCCTCCAGGCACTACACTATTAAATATATAAGCCGTGACAGCTCATTGCCCGAATGTCCCTTGCCCTTGTTTTTGAAATAATAACAAAAAAAAATATTTCAAAGATATGTGAAGACCGCCAATCCGCAGTGGGGCCGCGTGGTGCTCTATGCCCTCTGTACAGAGCACACTTTTGCCTTCGCATATATTCGCATATTGTAGGGTTTCTTAGTGTTTTATGTTTACTATGATAGGGCCAACAGTGTTCACTGTTGCACGACTAGGCAAGTCCTTCCGGATAAGTATCACGACCTCACAGAAGACCGGCGTAAAGTAGAACTGTTACACTTCTGTGTTTCGTCTGGTGAGTGAAGTAGCCGGGCCCACTTTCTTTAAAGGTAATAAAAAAAACGCATTTGCAACCCTACGGAAGTTGCAAATGTCCATGGGCGACAGTAGGCTAGGACACTTAACATCAGGTGAACCAACAGCTCGTTTGCGACTTTCTCACATAAAAAAAGAAATATTATTTTATTATCTAAATAATATAAAAAATACGGAATAAAGTCAATTTAGGGTTCCGTAATCAAAGGGTAAAACGGGTCCCTATTACTAAGACTCCGCTGTATGTCTGTCTGTTTCAGTGTCTACACTTCTGTCATCAGCCTGTATCTCGTGAACCGTGATTGTTACACAGTTGAAATTTTCAACTGTGTAACAATCACGGTTCGCATTAAAAAAATCTCAGGTAAGTAACCCTGCATATTGGTTTTTATAGCACGTTTTTCTTATTTGATGTATACGGGACCACAATTTATACTTTTTGGACACTCCTAGTTCTTGCAGAGAGATGGTTAAACTAATTTCATGCACAAAGCGGTAACTAATTCAAATTTATAACAAAGATAACTGGGCTGTCCACAAAACAGAAAAAGTAGCTTAATTTATTCCACTGGTGTGCATTATCGCAGTAGCCTCATAATTTCCATTGTTCGTGTTTCAAATGTCTTAAACTCATATCTTATTATCTGAAGAAACCCAAGTTTATCACTGACAAGCACTTGAATAATCGGAAATTCAAATTCCCTCCATATGACATAATACCTAAATGAGAAACCAATGTTCAAAACGCCTGTTATCTTTATAGACAATATCGAAGGGTATCTGACGATATCGCTTGTAGGTGAATACATATTTGATTTGCAGTACTTTTTTAATTGCATTTTGGCTGTTTGCCTTGACTTCCAAAGTATAAATAAAATCTATGTAATCCCAGTATAAATAAGGCTCCCCTCCGTCATGATAACTGTCATATTTTCCAAGGTTTTATCGTTACAAACTTGGGTATAAATAGGTGCTTTTTGATAAGGCGACTTAGATATACTAATGCAGCCAGTGAAAACGTAGTCGTGGAAACATGAGTTTCAAAGATAAAGTTGTTATTGTGACCGGTTCCAGTTCAGGCATCGGCGCCTCCACCGCCATCGAGTTCGCTAAAGAGGGGGCTCACGTCGTCATAGTGGGAAGGAACGAGGCTAAACTCGCGAGTGTACGTGAAAAATGCGAAAAGTACGGCAACAAGCCTCTTGTCATTAAAGCGGAAATGTCGAACGATGCCGACGGCAAGAGAATTGTCCAAGAAACGATAGAGAAGTTCGGAAGAATCGATGTGTTGGTCAACAATGCTGGGACGAGCGAATTAGTTGATATTACCAGTGAAAACTTTATGGAGAGCTACGACCAAATCATCAACGTGAATCTGCGTGGAGTGGTGTACTTAACCCATCAAGCTATACCGCACCTAATCAAATCGAAAGGGAATATTATTAACATATCTAGCGTGGCTGGTATGATTACCGCTGGTATTTCCGGAATGCTTGCGTACAACGTGTCGAAGGCAGGCCTTAACCATTTCAGCCGGTGCGCTGCACTGAAACTAGCCAGCTATGGTGTCCGGGTTAACACCATCAGTCCGGGGCCAGTTCGAACAGACATTATTAATCACCCCACCATGGAGTCTATATCGTGGGACACATTCGCCGAAATTACCGCTTTGAAACGTGTCAGTGACCCCGTGGAAATCGCAGATCTAATCCTATTCCTGGCAAGTGACAAAGCGAGAGGGATCACAGGTTCTAATTTCGTGTCGGACAACGGTGCACTGATTTTACACTGAAATGTGATCTCTTTGTTCACGTTATTAAAAGAATTTGATGCATTAAATTCAGGTCATTTTATTTAGTTACGTCATGTTTTCTAAATCTAAAAATATTCAAAAAATATGTAACAATTTAAGGCACGTCATGTCATGACTTTACATAATCGGAAAGCACGTATAGCAAACAAAAAGCAATGTTTACACTATGGTGTATATTACCCCTTAATATCAGATGGGATCATAATCCTATCTGATATTAAGGGGTGATATTTGATATTATATGCTCTCATTAACTATAATTATGCTCTCATTCAGTAACAACTTTTTCATGGACTAGGGCAATTGGGCGAGAGGCTCATCTGATGGTTAATGATCACCTCCACTAATGCATATTCCCAACACTAAAAGAATTACAAATGCGTTTTCGGCTTTCTATGAAAATGCTCTTTTTTAAAGATAGATAAGATAGAAGCCGTGATAGCTCAGTGTCCTAGACTCGAGCAACTATATTATTAATTTCTTAATTTATAGATAATATATTAAATTGTATTTATTTATTTGTTTTCTTTTTATACTCTTTTGGTATTTTTAAATATATTGTCTTGTGAGATAAATTACCTATATGGTATATCCCATGAGCAAGGTGGGATTTTGAAAAATGAAGCTGCATACTTGGGAGTCCATTCATACTTGACTTGGTGCCTGTTGCCATACCATTCTGATGTTCTTAGGATGTTTATCTCAGTGACGTGGCCATTCTTTATAGGTTACCTGCAACGCCATGTGTTTTTTTTTTTATTAGATTCAGCCTTTAATTATTTATAAACAGTAGCAAATAGTTGTCTAATAATAATGAGACATAGCTTCTGTATAGATGATATTTAATGGAACGTAATATTTAGTAAGTAATCGATAGCTTGTCTTATCTCCATATATGGTACATATACGGTATTTTCATTTTTAATTACTATTATTTTTACTGTCGGTGGGTCTGTATAATTATATAAAACGTATTATGTTTTTATAAAAGAACTGTACATAATTTCTACACGGTAATATCAAAAAGAAATGAATTTTCTTTTAGACGAAGCTCATGGAGGAGAGATTATCCGCCATATTGTTAATGTTTGTGATCGTCAATTATTGACAATATTTTAGAGAAGACTTTTTTGTTATATAATTAATTTTAATAAGTTAAATAATAATTGGTATTAGCATTATACTTCGCTGTGTATGGGTTAGTAAGGCATATAAGTATTATGAAACTAGAAGGCAAGCACTGAAAATCAGCGCTGTGTTGGGGCCTTGACTTCCTGCATAGCATAATGCTGAGCTGGAATAGGGCGTACAATATTTTGGTTTGTTAAAGTTATTTTTCATTTGTTTTATATTTTAATTATGTATTTGTGTTCTTTTGCTTCACTGAAATATTTATAAGTATTTTTTTTAATTTGTTCTATTTTTGTTAATTTAGGTTTTTCTTTCTCTTTTATTGTGTCATCCTTATTGTTTTGGTAAATAAATGTATTTTCTTCCTTTCTTTCTTTCTAATATTATAAACGCGAAAGTTTATATGTATGGATGATGTTTGTTACTCTTTCACGCAAATACTACTGAATGGATTCTAATGAAACTTTACAATAATATAGCTTACAAATCAGAATAAGACATAGGCTATAATTTATATACATATTTTTATGTCTACCTGTCTTTCTGTCTGAATGTTACGCCTTCAGCCCATCCTTCTACACAGACGTAGTTGCGGGCAGCAGTTAGTTCGAAATAAATTGGAATGGCTAAACTTTATAAAAACGCTCCAGCATAGAGAAAATATTTTTTGCAGTCTCATACTATAGGGATTTATTGTATTTTTATTTTGTTTTTTATTTTGGTGTAATAAAGTTATATAGTGTTGTTTAAAGTATTATAGATTTCAAACGATTATGCATAACACAGGCAGTAACAGGTACTCGGTGGCGCAGTTTCCAAGCTGGAGCTACAGCACCGGGAGTTGTGGGTTCGATTCCCAAAAAAGACAAGTATTTGTGTGACCCACAAATCTAATTGTTCTCAATCTGTAAAAAACCTAACCAATACCTTGAACAACATTCACAGGTAGTACTCACCAAACCTAGGTAAGGCAGGAGGAAGAAGAGATCTGTCGAGGATTCAGAAGAATCTAGAGGAACCTCATTACGAAACGGTGGTAGATTAAAAAAATGACTATCGATATATGAAATGTATATTTCTTATTTCGATGAATAAATGATTTGAATTTGAATTTGAATTTTTTCATAGACTAACAATAGAATTTTAGTCATTCCCCAGTTTCGTGAAAAAGTTTAGTGAAAAATGATGAGAGATTTTTTTTATTATTCCGAAAATATGCAGGTATCAGATCACAGAAATTTAAAGACAGTTTTTGACAAAGAAAATAAACATTAGTTAAATAAGATATCTATTTTTTGTATGACAAGCAATACATTAACAATTTTCTAATATACTAACATGACCAACCAAGTCACTAAATAGTGATTTTTCTAGTTCATTATCATCATTCCATTGTCCGATACGAAGTTGGAACCGGTGATGCCTCTTGCTTTGTCACTTGCCAGGAATAAGATCAGATCTGCGATTTCCACAGGGTCACTTACACGTTTCAGTGCGGTCATTTCGGCTAATGTTTCCCACGACATGGTAGAGAGATTAATAATGTCTGTTCGAACTGGCCCCGGACAGATAGTGTTAACCCGGACACCATAGCTGGCCAGTTTCAGTGCAGCGCACCGGCTGAAATGGTTAAGGCCTGCCTTCGACACGTTGTACGCAAGCATTCCGGAAATACCAGCGGTAATCATACCAGCCACGCTAGATAGGTTAATAATATTCCCTTTCGATTTGATTAGGTGCGGTATAGCTTGATGGGTTAAGTACACCACTCCACGCAGATTCACGTTGATGATTTGGTCGTAGCTCTCCATAAAGTTTTCACTGGTAATGTCAACGAATTCCCCAGTCCCAGCGTTGTTGACCAACACGTCGATTCTTCCGAAATTCTCTATTGTCTCGACGATGATTCTCTTGCCGTCGGCGTCATTTGACACGTCCGCTTTAATGACAAGAGGCTTGTTGCCGTACTTTTCGCATTTTTCACGTACACTCGCGAGTTTAGCCTCGTTCCTTCCCACTATGACGACGTGAGCCCCCTCTTTAGCGAACTCGATGGCGGTGGAGGCGCCGATGCCTGAACTGGAACCGGTCACTACAACAACTTTATCTTTGAAACTCATGTTTCCACGACTACGTTTTCACCGGCTGCGTTAGTATATCTAAGTCGCCTTATCAAAAAGAACCTATTTATACACAAATCAGCATCGATAAAGCTGTTTATTACAAAATTTAAACACTTACTATGTGTAATTTAAATTTTTTATATATATATTTTTTTTTATGTGAAAAGTTGCCAAACGAGCAGACGGTTCACCTGATGGTAAGTGAATACCGCCGCCCATGGACATCTGCTACACCCAAGGGTTACAGATGCGTTGACAACCTTTTGAAAATTGGGCTCCGGCTGCCTCACTCACCAGACGAAACGCGAAAGTACTTGTCATACTTCCACTTTACGCTGGTCTTCTGTGAGGTCATGGTACTTACCCGGACGGGCCTGCCCATTCGTGCAACAGCCGAGGCTATTGCGAGGCCCTACCACCGTTATAGTTATAGTGCTAATCTCTGCACTTAAGATTGAAACAATGTAGATAAAGTTAAGATTTTCGTCGGTGTGGCAATCAGCCGTTTAGCTTAGTGGCTAGAGCGTCAGGCCGCGAATGCTGAAAACGTGGGTTCGATTCCCACAGCGGCGGCAATCTTTTCGTACTTTTTCTACAAATTTAACTTACTATATGTGTTAGGTTAGGTTAACAGCCGTGATAGCTCAATGTCTAGGAGCTCGATTTTAATTCAATATACTCGCTTTTATTACATAATTCAAATCCCGGCACCGGGTCGACCGATGAAATTATTAATTTCAAGTGCTGATTTATCACGAGCTCAGCGGTGAAGAAAGGCATCGTGTCGAAACCTGCATGTTTTCGAAATAATAACAAAAAAATGGCCTTTTCCCAACAATGGGACTTTTATATGCGGTTACTTTACTTTACTTACTATTTTACTACTATTTCATTATGATGAAGTTTTTATTGTTTTGATTGAATAAAAATCCAACCCGGATGTTATCCATGACCTTACCTAATATTACATGACGATATACTTAAATAAAAAACAAACATTAAAAATGTCTGCTGGTCTCTTTAAAGACAGAGATAAGAGCGGATATAAATTACAAGTTGATAACACGCATTATAACGACCACAGATAATAAATGTATGGCTTTGTCGTTGCTGATTTTTTGTATAAATTCACTTCAACTAAGTTCACTTCCTACTCATGGTATTTTGAGGTAGTAAAATAAATTTATTTAAATTCCAATTAACAGGGTATCAGGGTCTAGTCCACCACGCGTCCCCACTGCGGACTGACGGACTTCACATATCTTCGAAATATTTTTTTTGGTAAAATTTCGAAAATGTGCAAAATTCCTCGCGATGTTTTTCTTCATTATTGAGCACGTGATAAGTCAGCACTTAAAAGAAACAATTTCATTGGTCATTGGAATAGGTTGCTTGAGTATATTGAATTAAAGGGGAACGCCCGCAAACCGAGCTATCACGGCTCGCTAATTTTTTTTTATAATTCCAATTAATGAAGAGAGTCAATCACGAACCCCATTAAGTTTGGTAACAAATCAATAGGCTCTGATATCGTAGTTAAACTCGAAAGTCAATTTAAATTAAAAACATTTTCACACTCAACTCAAAATTGAAGACCACTTCCATATTTCGTGTTAGTGACACTGTTATTTTATTCGCTCTATCCGGACTTTTTCATTTAGCCTTTGGATTGCTTCAATTTGTTTTATTGTGTATACATTTTATTTCAGTGCAGTTTTTTAT